AATAGGTCTTGTGGTGGAATGATCTGTTCTTTGAATGTCTCAAGGAGAAGATTTCAATCGCAAGTTAGTAATTGGTATGCCGGGGAAAGAGAAAGTAGAAGGTTTTAAACGGTACAAAATTTTGCTTGGAATGATGGGGCTGGATCAGTTGGTATTTTGAGAAAGCGGAATTGGTCACAACGATACAGAAATATGGGTGTTTCAAAAATGTGAATTTATGAATGTGTGGAAGCACAGCATAATTTGGCTGAAAAGCGGTTGACAAAGTTGCTAAATCAGTCAGTCAAATAAATTTTTGAGACCACAAATTTTGAGATAATTTATAGCGGAACGTACTGTTATAGGAGAAGTTTCGGTTATAGCTACCTATCTTACTCATCTTTACCATTTCTCGGATAACTCGGCAAAATTCTTTTGCATGAGAACGTCTAAAACTCCTTAGTTAGTCTTATCTGGTGCTGTCTAAGACCATCTGGAAATATGATCTACGATTTAACTTATGATTTTTCAATCAACAATAGGATAGAAATTCTAGAAAATATTCTTGCTGTTGACATGTATGTACTCTAGGCATATTTTCAATTTGTTTTACCTTCCTCAAAACTGGTCCTAAGCTGATCTTCCACCGTCCCGACGATTGCGTCAGCAGAGCGTAGTACCAAGTAACCAGACTTGTGAGTCACAGTAGTGGGAATCTTTGAGGCAGATCATTCTAGGGCATCATTCGTTCCTTTGCGAAAGTTTCTGTTCTCTGGAAAAATTTTCTCATAGCCGAAGAAAGAATTCTTGCAGGCGACAACGTCCGAGAGCCGATTACAGCAGTCTTTGTCAACTCCTTGCCCACATGACGAGCAGTCATCCAGAAAAGACTCCGAATATAGGCGGTTTAAGGTATTAGACTTTTCCCAAGTTTGAATGAATCAGCTAATCAACAAATTAACATCTGGTCTAAGAACCTGATCTTTTTCCAGTCAGAAGGATCATCCGGAGGTGCACTACCAGCAGGCCCGGAAATGGAAGTGGCCATCGACGATCTCTCACCGATAACAGATGCCCAGTCTACACAAAATCGTCGGTTTAATCTGATTACGGTGAGTTACCGTAATTCTAGCGCACGACATTCTTCATGTATTAGTGTCGTTACATTACGTCACAAGAAATCCTAATACATTATTCAATCCTAATTAGGCATAAGTTTTGTTCTTTAATCCTGTAGGTAATTTTTTAGGTAATTTAATTCTGTAGGTAATTATTTTAATTCTGTTGGTAATTTTTTACTCAAGAAATCTTGATCAATAATAAAGTATGGACAAATTGGCAATCATACTTTTAACTATGACTTGCACTAAAACCCGCTGCGGATATACCCATCAAATTCTTACCATTTTGGAACCAGTGGCCGTATTCATCAACGAACCCAGTGGGTT